CCAAGTCTCAACCCCTCCTATTGAATGTCTTTGGGTCCCCTAACGCTTATATCTGACATCCTCAAACTACGGCCCGCGTGCCACATGAGGGTGCTTTTGCCCGTTTGTTTTTTTTACTTCAAAATAAGATATGTGCACTGTGCATGGGAATTTGTTCATAGTTTTTTTTTAAATTATAGTCCGGCCCTCCAACAGTCTGAGGGACAGTGAACTGGCCCCCTGTTTAAAAAGTTTGAGGACCCCTGGTTTATATAGTCTGGGAGTGGGGAGTGAGGAGTGGCAGTGACTCCTCCTGTCTTGCCCTCTCCTATCCACTTGCTTTGCCTGCTACAGAGGGCTCTGGGGGCAGAGTAGAAACAGGCCATTGTGGGCTCTAAGCACATAAGAGGAGCTGGAAACAGGAAGTCTGTATGGAAAATTCCTGAGGATGTGCTGCCCACTTGACAGGGTTACTCAGTGGAGGCTGTCCAGCCAAAGTAGCTAGGGCCCTTTGCAAAGAACCGAAAAATTATTCTGCTCTGAGCTTTCGAAAGGTTACTATCCTAGTCATCATTTATTTTGTACCCATGGTTGATATGAAGAGGAAGATAGGTCATTTTTTTTCCTAACTCTAAAAGGATTTGAACATTTTTAATATTGATCAAGTTAATTATAACAAGAGCAGTGAAGTCTTAAATATCACACAAGTAAAATTACTTGTGTAAATATTATGCAAATTAAATATTATATAATGCAAGCAAGCAAATTTCATATAATAAATATACAATGAGTATACACTATTTCCTCTGACAACAAGTCAGAGGAATAATTTTTTTTCCTCTGAAAAAACAAATAATTTTCAACAAATAATCTTAAACAAATAATTTTCTTTTACTTAAGTTAAAGACTATAAAATTTTCACATCAAAGTTAAAAGAATATATCTCAGGAAGCTCCTTCCATACAAATTATTCAATTTTTATAATGATAACTTTTTATTTTTTGTAGACTCTTCTAGATCTTTGTTATAAACCCCACACTACGTTGTTATCGGTCTGTTAAATAGTCAATAGGCCGGGTGCGGTGGCTCACGCCTGTAATCCTAGCACTCTGGGAGGCCGAGGCGGGAGGATTGCTCAAGGTCAGGAGTTCGAAACCAGCCTGAGCAAGAGCGAGACCCTGTCTCTACTATAAATAGAAAGAAATTAATTGGCCAACTAAAAATATATAGAAAAAATTAACCAGGCATGGTGGCGCATGTCTGTAGTCCCAGCTACTCGGGAGGCTGAGGCAGGAGGATTGCTTGAGCCCAGGAGTTTGAGGTTGCTGTGAGCTAGACTGACGCCACAGCACTCACTCTAGCCTGGGCAACAAAGCAAGACTCTATCTCAAAAAAAAAAAAAATAGTCAATGATATTTTAAAAAATATTTGGATAATACATAAAATAGTTAATTCCTACCCACACAATTTTTTCATTCAGTACCCTAAAGATAGTACTCAACTATTTTCCTGTGTGATTTCTAATAAGAAATCTGCTGCCATTATTGTCTTTGATAACTTGATACATAGTACTCTTTTTCCTCTGGATGATTTTAAGGTTTGCTTTTATCATTAGTGTTGGACAATTTGATTTTCCTATTCCTCTGTATATAGTTTTCTTCATGTTTCTTGTGCTTGGAGTTTGTTGGACTTCTTGAAACAGAGTTTTCATTGAAATATTTCTTCAAATGCTTCCCCTCTTCTTTGGGGTTTTCCAATTATTTGTATCTTGGAGTTGTCCCAAGCTCATGCATGCAATTTCATTTTTTAAATATTTTAATCTCTGTGTTTCATTTGGGATAGCTTCTATGGTTATGTCTTCATGTCACTAATATTTTCTTCTGCAATCTCTAATCCCATCCAGTGTAAATTTTACTTGAGACATTGTCCTTTTCATCTCTAGAAGTTCATCTCTTTTTTAGTATCTTGCATATCTCCACTTAACATATTGCATCTTCCCTGTAGCTCTTTGAACATATGGAATATAGTCATAATAAGTGTTTTGCTGCCCTTATCTGATCATTCTAACAACTGTGTCAGTTCTGGGTTTGTTTCAATGTATTGATTTTTCTCCTCATTATGGGTCATATTTTCCTGCTTCTTTGCAAGCCTGAAATTTTTTGTTAGATGCCAGACCTTGTGGGTGCTAGATATTACTGTATACCTATAAATACTCTTGACCGTAGGTTGGGGACAAAATTAAGTTACTTGGAAACAATATGATTTTTTCAGGTCTTGCTTTTAAGACTTTGTTAGGTGGGGCTAGAGCAGTGGTCCTTCTAGAGCTAATTATTCCCCACTCCTGAGGCAAGACTCTTCTGAGTACTCTACCCTCCAATGTTCTATGAATTATAAGATTTTGCAGTCTGATTAGTGGGAGCATTCCCTATTCCAGGCCCTGCAGTAGTACTGGGCACTGTTTCTCTTGATCATTTCTGATGGTTCTTCACTCTGTCTTTGGTATTTTCTCACATGCATGAGCTGATCCTTATGTAGCTGAATACTCAAGATTGAGACCCTAGAGCCAGAATTCTGTCTCTGTGCAGCTCCCTCCTCTCCCCTACTCTGCCCTGCAGCTCTAGCTAACTCAGTCTTTCCAGACTCCTAACTCTGCTTGCTTAGCGTCAGGAGTCTGCCAGGCTCTGCCTGAGTCCCCCCTGCCCATGCTGAGGCCTGTAACCTCTCTCACGACAGTAAGCTGCATAGTTACGGGGGTCATATCATTGTTCCTACCAGCGATCGCCTTCTTTAATTGCCTGATGCCCATTGTCTTGAAAGCCATTTGTTCATGACTCTTATCTAGATTTTTAGTTGTTTCAGATGGGGGGGAAAATATCTAGTCCCTATTACTCCAGCTTTCCAGAAGCAGAAGTCTCATTGAGGTCTATAACTAGCTAATATTTTCCATATTTCAACCTTAATGAGGCAATGGCTAGGTCAAGGACATTGTTTTCTCAACATTTTGCTCAAAGTGCCTTGATCTTTCTAGGATTCAGCTATTAAAAAATGTATATCCTTTGATTTTTAGCTTTTAATTTTGTTTAAAGCTGAATTAAAGGGTTTATAATTTTTAATTCTATAAAGTTGAGCCTCTTTCTCCTCACTTGGACCTCAGGATGAAGTGGTTGGGGTGTGAGCTGCGTGGGCCACTTCGGGGACTGCGTCTGTCTTGTTGTCTTTGCTTGGACACATGGACAGTTAAGTGTGGAGGGTGCCAGGCCCATGGGAGATGGGAGCTGCTGCTCTTGGTAGTGGAGCTGTCCTTCGAGGTTGATTCAGGAGACCTAAGCAAAGGCTGCGATCCCTTTTCCCCCATTGAATTCTTCTTCAGCAGTTAGTCATTCAAACAAAGGCAAATCCCCTATTTCTCACTTAGGTACCAGATACCCAAGCATTATACCCATCATCAATCAGCTTTTTCCTTTCAACCCACTTCCCAGCCAGTGTCCAGTCTTCTCCTGGAACAAATAGGGCTCCCTGCTCTGCTTGTTATGTTCTAAGGAGGCTACATTCCAACTCCCTTCCTCCTAAGAGATTTCCTCTTCTAGCCTATACTGTGGTATATCTGAAAGCATTTCTCATTAACCACTTCGGTACGAGTGTTGACTATATATAGTCAATAGACAGAGATGAATGCACACAGCTACTTTAGCCAACAGCCGTGATATGAAGGCGCACGGCCAAGCGTCGACTTTAGCATTAATAACAAAACTTCTACAACAGTACTCCAAATCGAGGCAATACAACCCTTGTACTGTGTCAGAAAATCTCATGCGTTTTAGAGAAAGACATTTTCCAGCACCTCACAGTAGTGATAAAACAAAAAGGGAAAATCCATTAAGAAGATATATTGTATGCTCAAAAAATAATAAAAGGCATAGTACTAGATACTGTTGTAAACAATGTAATGTTGGCCTATGTGTAGCCCCATGCTTCGAAATTTATCATATCAAAGAATAAAATGTATTGTAATATTCAAAAACTTGCCTTACTTCTTTATGATATGAATGAAATAAAACTATAATTTTGAATTGACTTTTCTAATTTTTCATTTATCAAAATAAAATTGTGAACATTTAAAAGTAACATAATGGAAACATATATGTATATGTTACCTATTCTGATTACATTACAAGTAAAGCTGCCTGTAAAGTAAAACAACCTTTCAGTGCTTTAAAGCTTTCCTCATCACACAAGAGCAAAACGGATTCATCGTCAATGCACAGCACAAACTCTCATGCGGACTATGAGTGCCGGCTGTGGGCAAGGTTTCGCTGCCAGTGAAAGCCATACTGAAGTGGTTAAATAAGAAAAAAAATCTCATAGTGTAATCTTCAGCAGAGTAAAGCAACCTATTTTCCCCCACCCCACAATATATAACACAATACTAATGTACGAAGCTATAGATTTATTATTTCAAGATGCTCATGTTCGCAAAGTCATGACCTGCCCACACATAACATTGTTCTTTCTCTGCCTATCCTAGCCTCTCGTGGTGACAAGAGTGGTCTAAAACATGAGTACAGAATTATCGTCATATAAATAGCCCAACTGAAGCTAGTAAGGGATTCTTATCCAAAATATATTTAAAATGTACACACACACGCACACACAAAAAAAATCTCTATTAATTGTTTTATCAGTGTGGCATTTAAGGCATTTAATATTCCTTCTGGATCTTCTTCCGCTTAGTAAAGATTCATCTCACAACCATAATGTTATTTAGTTTTAAGAGATGTTGGTTCCCCTTCCTTTGTTTCATGTTTTTATTCTTTTCATGTTTTACTCTTTTTTTTAAAGCGATGCAGCTCTCTGACAATTGAGAAAGATCTATCCTGGGAATTCCCTCATTTTTTTATACTTCCCTGCAGGGGGCATTCACCAAGGGTCTGTGGCCCAGCAGGCACCTGGAGGGCTTGATCCCAGTCCTGCTGGCAGCGCATGTCCACTTCACTAACCTCAAGGCCTCTTTCCCTCCGCAGGTGCCAGGGTGGACAGAGCCAACAGCTGCCAGTCTGACAGCAGCGGGTTCCTGGAGGAGCCCCCGGAGCCACTGCCCCTGCAGGTAGGAGGTGCCCATCCCTCACGGCCACTTCAGCCCTATCAGCCACCTGCCCCCTACATGGCTGACTCAGAAAGAAAGATAAGCTTAAAGTGCCCGCCACAACTGGAAAGGCTGAGAAGACACATGCCACATACGCCCAAGGGGTAGAGGATGATGGCGTCCATGAGACACGGTGCCAGGAAGCTCAGCCTTCCTTTCCTTTTTATTTTCTTTGATATTTTCTAAGCAAGGAAGCTGAGTGTCCTAGAGACAAGGTCCTGGGGAAAGTAGCAAACTGATGTGAAGCCTGAGTTTATAGCCCTTGTCGTCTGACTCCTGAATGAATGGTGAGGACAAGAAGGAAAAAACAATCTCCTTAAACCTATCGCCTCCCTCACTTTCTGACCCACTTCCCTTTGTCCTGGTTTCTCCTGCAGATGCTGTCCCTGCCGAGCAGCCAGCGTCCTGCCGAGAACGCGGGTGCAAAACCGAGGGATCTGAGCCGCAGCCTCCTGCCAGCCCAGGACGGCCAGCACGAGTCGGACGAGTCTGATTCCAGGAGTATGATGAGCACGTCGTTTTCAAGCCAAGACTGGAGCGTCTTGGAAGAAAAGGCCTCAATATCTGTGACAAAGGAAGAGTCTCAGCTTGAGGCCATGGAGGGGTCACCAGAGCTGTTGACCCCAGACCTGGCCCTTGCCAAGACCTCCGCTGGAGGAGAGCACCCAAGGAAAGACAGCCATCTGCAGCTGCCTCTGCCAACACCCCATGCTGAACACGAGGTCACTGGAGCCACAGTTACCCCTAAATGTGATCGTCCTTTGGGATTTATAGCAACCCACATCGCAAAAATGAAGGACGGGCTTCCGAGGCCCAAGGGAGCTGGAGAAATGCACGTGCAAAGCCACCGCTGTGAGTCTCACAGGTCACCTGGAAATGACCACGCTCCAGGCAAGTTCCCTCACGTTGACTCTGAGGCCCCGAGGGAAGAGGAAAGCCACAGAATCTGTCCTGACACCAACACCTTACTGGCAGGAGAAAGTCCACCCCAGCCTGTCCCCAAGCACAGTGAAGTCATGCCCTACATGGTTGACCTTGTTCACACATCTGAAAAGTCCACTCCCCACCTCCATAAACTGCCTGGAGAGAATGCCCAGGTGAAGCCAAGGTGTAGTGCTTTGGGTCACATACCCCCCAGGACAGAAGCTGGGCTGGAAAACCTTCGTCCAAACGCTGACTCAAACACGGGCAGCTCCAGGTCTGTGACAACCCAGATGTCCTCCAATCTGGTGTCAGCTGCTCGGAGCGCTGTGGCCTTGGGGACTGATTCTAAGGGAACATCTTTAGAATGTACTATGTGTGACCCTGTTACCACAGGGCCGAGACTGGGGTCAGAAGAAAGACAGTTCAAGGATGCTTCCATTCAAACATCTACATGTGAGCCCAGGCCCTGGCATTTCTGTCCAGTCCCAAGTCCCAAGGCCTCGATGCATGGACCCCAGCCCCTCACCAAATCTGTCTCTCTAGACACAGGCTTCCCTAGTAGCTACCCAGGGGGCGACTGCCATGCTGTTCCTGCCCACTGTTGTGTCTGCTGTTGTCACTATTGTCACTGTCCCGGTGAGAGGCAAAGCTCTGGCCCTGCACCCTCAGTCCATAGGCATTGCCTATACTCACATACTGATCACCCGGAAGCCCAGTTCATGAAGACTTTGAAAGTCCTTCAGGACACGGCGGTGAGGGAGCTCTGTTCCGTAAGTGTCTACTTCTGCAAAGGTGGGAAGGCAGATTAGATGCACCAATGATGAGCACCACAGGGACAGCCTTCCTTTCTGAACACGAGGTCTCAGGGCATACCCTTCTATTTTTAATCATGAGTAACATTTGTAGAGTGCTTTGTTGTTTATGATAGAGTCTTATAAATTTCTTCTCATTTGACGCTTCCAATCAATCACCTCTTGAAGTAAGGAAAGCAAATTTTATTATTAATTCCCATTTTAAAGAAGGGAAAGCTAAGGCATAGAACGAAAAACTCGTATGTGTAAGGGTTAAACATTAATGCATCTGTGCCTCATCTCCAGTTCAGTCTAGCTGAGAAGTTCTGTGTCTGAAATTCACTCAGCTGTATAATCTTGCACAAGCCATTTAATCTCTCTGGGCCTGTTCTGTAAAATAGGCAGAGTAGTCATGCCACTGACGCAGGATTGTTTTGGCATTAAACAAGGTAAACCTTGTAAAGCACTCGACCCACTCAGACACTCAGCACAACGTGTGGCACATAGAAAGCTCTGGGTAATGTTAATTGCGTGCGTGTTTCTCTTAGTATCAATTTTTGTTGCCATTTTAATTATTGTTCAGGTATTGAATCTAGAGCTTTTCGTGTCAAATAGAGGGACTTTTGGTCTACCTTTGCCAAGCTTGTGTAAAAGTGGATATTGGGGTTACCAGGACCATGGGGTTACCATGACCCCAGCCTTCTTCAACCCTTCATTAACCAACAAGTGTTCAGTAGTTCTCAAAGTGAGAAATGATCTCGGCCTTCAAGGCTAGCCATTGATTAAACAATTAAGATGATCACACGTGAGACTACATGTATAGAAAGTTCAGAAGGTGGGGTGGGTGAGGTATAGACAATGTAGACCTGCAAGTATTCAAAGGAAAGTGAGGAGGGATCATGATTTACTGAGCACCTACTGTTTAGCACCTGTGGGTTACCTTCCCATTCTTTTAATATTTAATGAGTGCCTATGCTACCACTCCTGTCATTTAACCTTCCCTTTCATCCATCCCATAAATTTTTATTAGGTCCCTAATATGTGCCAATTTCTTCCTCTTTTATGGATGAGGGAACTAGAACTGAGAGAATTTAAATCATTTTCCTAATGCCTCCTAACTAGTAAATGGTAAGTCCAGATTCCAATTCAAATTCCGGTAACACTACATTCTTGAACACTACGCTGCTGGCAAAGAAGTATCAAGCTTTAAAATATCGAAATCTATCGAAGTGTAGTTCTGATGTCACAAAGTGATTATTTGAAAGATAAAGCAACTTACTACATGGTCCTTCAACACATAGAAATCTACACAAATGTAATATAAACAAAGTGATTACATGAAAGGTTAAATATTCACCACATCGTTTTTTTCAAATTGCAAGACTCCTAGGTTTTTAGAATATTTTAAAATGAGCCATTAATGAGGCTGAACTAGTAAGAGAAAGTTTTGTTTAGGCATTGAAATCAATTCTGGGTTTATTACCCAAAAGCTCAGTGGAAGAAAAGAACAAATCTAATGTATGGCAGGGATCTTTCTGGAGGATCAAAAGACTTAGGTTCAAGTGCTGGAGAATAGCGGGGTCACCATCGTCACCATGACCACCACAATTGTCATTATCATCATCATTTATTGAGGGATTTTAAAGGCTCTAAGGCAGCAGTTTTCAACTGGGAATAATTTCCTACCTCCCACCTCCCAGGTGACATTTGGCAATGTTTGCAGACATTTTTAGCTGGCACAACTTGGAGGGGGGTGGTTACTACTGGCAACAAGTGGATAGAGGTCAGGGATGCTGCTAAACGTCCTACAATACACAGAACAGCCACCATGAGAGAGAATTATTTGGCCCAAAATGTTAATAGTTTCAAGGTTGAAAAACTCAGCTCTAAGGGAATAAACATTTACTTGATCACATAGTTCATATGGGAAAAATGTTAAGGATGAAAGATAGCTGGAGAAGGTGACATTTGAGAGGCTGTACAGGAAAAAATATTAAATCCTAGAATTAGGTAGTTAATTTCCATGATGAAAGCTGGGTTTTCTAAGATAGAAATAGATATCTAATATAGAAATAGATATCCTTTAAAAGAATTATTTTTCTAATTTACATTTTAAGCTTTACAAAGATATACAACTTAGATCATATTTAGTATTACATTTTGTTAAAAATAATAAAATTGCACAAATCAAAATTGGGTTAAAAACTCCAGAAGAAATGGTCCGTTTAGACATATCTAATGTCATTCTTTTAGTGTAGATCCTGCAGATATTTATTCCATAATAAGATACTATCTAGTTTCTGTTTATGTCACCACTCTTAAAAACAATATAAATCATTTACTTATTGTGTTAAGAAGAGAAATAACAAACACATATCTATAAGCTGAGAAGCTAGAAATCTAGTGCATCAAATTGTCGTTGGGAAGCACCATCTCTTAATATATCTCCAATATTATAATCAGGTATCTATGGCAACAGCTGTATCTTGGTGCTCAATTAGACTATCATTTATTCAGTGATATGACCACAGTGAAAAAGTAAAAGAGTTAGCACAGCCTCCCATGGCACAAACTGCAAACACCTCCTACCTGAGGAGGTTATTTGACATGAGTGAGGTGCCGACAACCGAGGCACCAGTGCTGAGAGCAGCTGGGGTGGGCCTCACTGCAGGTGCCAAGGGGACATCTAACTCACCGGGCAAAACGTGGTGTCCAGAGAGCATGGCAGGTCAATAGCACAGACTCGTAAGACTGTCAGTGTGGAAAGTCTGGTGACCTACGAGGTTCTGGAGGTGTCCTTATGAGTTTGTAGAGGTTTGGTTGTGGGATTGAAAGAGCAAGTGGGCATGTGCCACCTGGAGTGGATTAGCAGGTAGGACGGCAGCTTCTGTGCTGAGGGCAGACTGGGAAGAGTGAGAAACAGCGCTGGGGACACTCAGGCACAGGAATGCGGAGCCAGGTACAAGGTAAGGATGTCATTTAGAATAGGGACAAAAGATAAAACCTGAACCAGCTCCCAGTGTGGACCAGAGCTCTTTCCACTCCTCCTGCCTCATGTTGAGAGAGGGCCTTGGGCCTGAGTAGCCCCAGCTGGGTGGAGAGATTTGGCAGCTGGAAGTAGATGTCCCTCCTGATTTGACACTATGACACATCGGCACTTGTACAGAAAATAGAGAGATTTTGCAGCCTGTTATGCACAACGGCCATCCTCAGGCTTGGTTTTATTTTATTTATTTATTTATTTATTTATTTATTTATTTATTTATTTATTTATTTATTTGAGACATAGTCTCACTTTGTTGCCCAGGCTAGAGTGAGTGCTGTGGCATTAGCCTAGCTTACAGAAACCTCAAACTCCTGGGCTCAAGCGATCCTCCTGCCTCAGCCTCCCGAGTAGCTGAGACTAAAGGCATGTGCCACAATGCCCGGCTAATTTTTTCTATATCTATTAGTTGGCCAATTAATTTCTTTCTATTTATAGTAGAGACAGGGTCTCGCTCTTGCTCAGGCTGGTCTCGAACTCCTGACCTTGAGCAATCCACCCGCCTCGGCCTCCCAGAGTGCTAGGATTCAGACTTGGTTTTAAATGAGTAGCAGTTTGAATGAGAGTGAGGGCCACCATCTCATAGCTTCTGATACCTTGTCTCTTATTTATTGCCTCTGCCTTCTCTCCTCTGAGAATTTGCAATGTTGCAGAAAAGGAGGTACTTTTATATTCAATTGATTTGGCATTATACACCTGCTGAAACAGACACTATATAAGATTTTAGTACATGACAATGTATTTCTCTTTGTTTAGATCCAAAGAACCAGAAACATACATCCAAAGGAAACAATCAAAACACAGACACATATACACGTACATATTTGTACTCAGATGCAGGCACACACATGTGCACACGCACATATGCGGGAAAGCACATGGAAATAAGGGATTGCATTCCTCCATGAGAGGAGGCTACTTAAAAAACAAAGAGGAAAAGGTTGGGACATGCAGCAGTATCTACTGTGAGTGAGCCTGGGTTTGTAAAGCCTGAAAAATGTTCTGGAGAAAAACGGCTTTAAGTTAGATGCTAGCTGGAGTTAGAAAAAATCTTTATAATTAAATCAACAGAAAATAGGTTTTGGACCAAGTGAAGATTATAGGCAAAGATAAATAACATCTCTTACACAAGAATGGGGGGCCAAGCAGATGTTGAAACTGAGAGTAATTTTAGGTAAAAGACTTGAAGACTCAGAAAAACATCCCCACCTAACCCCCTTACATAGTGGTATGTAACACTGGAGAGAAACACTTAGCTGGCTAATTGATAAGTGCAATTTTTGTAGTCTGTAGGCTATCTATGATAATGGTTTCTTGATTTAATTAAATTCTTATATATATATAAGTTAATTCCTCAGAATAATTTGTTAATTTTTTAAAAAGTGTTAATTTTTTAAAGTGTTAATTCAAAAATAATATTTTCAGAAAAAATGAGATGTATCAGAAATACAATTTCTGAATAATATACAATTTCTCTATAATGTTTATGATTTAGGTTTAAAGGAAAAGGAAAACATGCAAATTTTACAAAATCATATGAGCCAATTCAAAGTAAAAGTTTATTGTTTTTCATTGATGATGTTTTAATGGGTTTGGGTCAGTAGAGAAGATCTTGCATTGTATTTGGGTTATCATCAAGCCTTTATATTGGGAAAAAAGTGTTCAGAGCATTCTCCTTTTTTTTGAAATTTCAAAATGTTAAGGATGTACAAATGTTTTTGTTACATGGATAATGCTAAAGTCAGGGCTTTTGGTGTGTCCGTCACCAGAATAGTGTTCATTGCACCTAACAGGTAAGTCTTCATCCCACACCTCCCCTCCCAGCCTTCCCCCTTCTTAGTTTCCAGTGACCTTTACATCTCTTTGTGCCTGCGTGTGCCCATCATTTAGTTACCACTGACCAGCGAGAACATATGATATTCGGTTTTCCATTCCTGAGATACTTTACATAGAATAATGGTCTCCAGTTCCATCCAAGTGACTGCAAATGATATGATTTCATTCCTTTTTTTCTCTTCTTATTTAGAGATTCTGAAACGATTTCTATACCTGTTCTAGGGCTAAAATGTATTTTTTAGTATTTCCAAATGACCAGAAGATGGCAGCGTTTCAGAATCTTCCACATCACTCCCTTCTCAGAGAACAGAAACATTTCATCAATTATTCCCAAATCCAGCCTCCACTTACACCTTTCGATAACAGTGGGTTACCCCCAAATAACCAGATGAGCATGAAATTCAATGTTTATGATGCTCAGCTTACTTTAGTGACATATTTCCATGGCCCTGGCTTCACTGTCCCTAGAATTTTGAAGTGAATTTGAACCAGTTAATGGTTCTTGGTTGCCTTATAGCAGGCGTCCTCAAACTATGGCCCTCGGGCCACATGCAGGTGTTTTTGTCCGTTTGTTTTTTTACTTCAAAATAAGATATGTGCAGTGTGCATAGGAATTTGTTCATAGTTTTTTTTTGTTTTTTTTTTAACTATAGTCCAGCCCTCCAACGGTCTGAGGGACAGTGAACTGGCCCACTGTTTAAAAAGTTTGAGGACCCCTGCCTTATAGGAATCTACTAGAAACTCAAACAGCTCGCTCCTGAGGGACAAATAACTTCTCCATGTGTCCACCTACACTGTGACTCAGATTTTGGAAGAAAAGAAAAGAACCAAGAGACTTGGGTTTGAGATCTGACTGCCACTTTTTGACCACAGACAAGTTAACTAAGCATTCTGTGTAGGAGCACTTATCTATATAAGAAGCCCTTCGTGGCCTCCAAGATCTTTTCTAGTTTTAGGAGCTATATTCTAGTCATCTTTCAAGCACTCTTGCCAACATCAGTAATGCTTTGAAGACTTCCCTAACTGGTTCATTCACACTGATGCAAGGGTAATTCGAAAGCTTTACTATGCAAAATATGTTATTCAGTATAAAAAATAGACAAGAGAATAAAAACCAAACTCTTGAAACAAAATTATGGAAAGTTTTGATTGCAAAAAATATTACTCTTAGGAAAGTATTTCCATTATGACAATTCTGATAAAAATAGCAATCAGGCTGCTAGGATCTTGGCTATTTTGTTTTTGGGAGAAGGGTAAAAAATCTGGGGCTTCCTAGAAGCAGGGCTGGAGAAATTAACCTAGCTGTAGGGCTGGTCTCTGTGGGAGGAGGAAGAAGAGAAGGTTAAAAGGGGCCATCCGGAGAAATCAGTTTTCTTACAAGGGCTTCACGGAAGGCCTAAACCACGCTTTCTGCTTCCCTCTTGTTGGCCATCCTATCTGCAAAGGATGCTGGAAATGTAGTTTTTTATTCAGACACATTGCTGCCTCCAAGTCTTCTTGTTAGCAAGAATAAAGGGGAGAAAGATAGTGCCATACTGATTTCGGAGGAGGTCCAAACATGTGGGCCTGCTAGAGATGGCTTTAGGGTCCAACAAGCATCAATATCATTCAAAGTCAGATGAGTAGTGACCCTGGGGCTCTGGATCATGGGTCTATTCAAAGCATGATCCAACCTAGGCTGCAAAATCAGATGGATAGCTCATAAGAACTCAGCAGATCATCAGAGTGCCCCAAAAGTGGACTGGGCTTTGGGGTGTCAAAGATAAACAGTGGACATTTCGTTAGCAGTGAAAATAGACTTTTTCCAGCAACTACTGACAGTAGGGGAGAGAGCTGAGCTCCAGTCTGATTTGTGTAGAGGTGATTTGGACATTTTAAAGAGAGAATGAGGGAGAATGGAGAGCAAGAGCTCAGCAGAGTCAGAGCCACAGAAAAATTACAAAGGGCTATTCCATGCAAGTGCCATTAGGCCAGCTGTGTTTGCGAGCTGGCAATAATGGAAGTTGAGATTCTATGTCCCCACAGAGACTGGGAGACAGAGTCTGTAGCCTTCCAGATGATTGCATTTCAAAGGCATGGCTCTCAGGTCCTTGAGAGAGGGAGTTGTAAGAGATACATACTCACAGTTGTAAGCCCCTGTTAGTAAATACTCCAATAAGGGACGGAGGCCTGTGTCAGGTGTTGGCTCAACCAGACAGCAAATGTTCCTGGCTTTCTCAAGCAGGTTTTTTAATGGCAGAGGTGGAGGCTTTAAGGTCATCCTGGGGACATAGCCTTGTGCTGCTGGCGGCCATGCTAGAGTTTGGTCTAGTCTCCTAGTGCAAGGGTTTGGACAGAGCCATTATGTGTGGAGAGCTCTGGAATTCTCAGGGGCTGCAAGAATATTTTTAAATTAGGAAGCCAGGGCAAAAGCACAGTTCTAGGGAAAAAGTAAGATTTAAAAGATGACTTACATCAGGAGCAAAGGGGAGCAGCATTGAGAGGGTAGACTGAGTTCAAATGATTCTAACCTCTAGACTTCTAAAGAGTATAGGATGCCTAACTTTTGCCTGCCTTGCTCTGGATGGGTTTGTTAGTTGGGCGGAGCTGATCCTGCAGATTTTAACATCCAGGGACTGTGGCTAAGCAGGGCTAAGACTAATAAAAAATATTCCAAGCAGATTTTCTGTAATCAAACACATAACTTCTGAACAGATGTGTTGGGTGTTATTGACACTCAGCGTGAGGCAGTACTCAGCACCAAAGTCAAACAAGACTCAGCTTTTTCAAGCACAAGCCCCCACTCTGGCCCTTCCCTCTCCTCTCTTCCGTCTATATCCTTGCATCCCTATGTCACCTGGTCCTCTAGACTGCCTTCCAGCCTCAGGACATAATGATCATCACCCAAGGGCCACTCAACAACTGTCCTCTTCCTGTCCCAGCCAAACTGCATCTAGTTGCTTTGAGAACCCAAAGACTGGGCTCTCATTCTCTTTCCTGTATGGTAGCAGTAGGATTTCTTTGCAAGCAGGTGAGTTGACATGGGAAAGCAGGCTCCACTGTGGTGAGCTCTTGCAGTGAATCAGAGAGGACTCCTTCTCAGTTCTTTCTCATTGTTCTCAGTGCACAGTCCACGAGATGGAAGCCATGAAGATGGTTTGCCAGAGTTTCCGGGAGCATTTAGAGGAAGTTGAACAGCACCTTACGGGACAGCAGGCACTCTTTTCCAGGGACATGTCAGAGGAGGAAAGGTAATTATCTAAGGGAGCCATAAAAGTACCAGCTCACACACCTGGAGCAAGGAAGGTAATCAGGGCAGGACAGATGAGCACCCTGGAGCAGGGCTAATGAGAAATCAGAGGCTTTTCCTTTGGTTTCATGGTCTCGTTCTTGCTTTCTCAGTAGGAGTCTGTGAGAGCCATTTGCTAGACAGGAACACTTATTCTTTAAGGCAGGGCTATTCCAGAAGGTCACAAGAGGGGCAGTCAGGAGTGTTGCCAGAAGGATGTTAAAGAATAAATGTGAATGGAGCTCGTGCAAATGCAAACGCTGGCAGTTCTTAGAGTTTTGAAAATCTACATTATTTTCACAGAGATTACAATGTGAACCCAAAATAGATTAGTTACCCATTGCCTGGGGCTAAGGGATGGGACTCCAGTTTAACTGTAAAGGGCCTGAGGGTTCTTACTGGGGAGATGGAAGTGTTCTAACACTGGATGGTGGTGATTATACAAATTGGCGGCAAATTTATTAAAATTTGTTAAAATTCGTTGAAATGTACTCTTAATACAGGTGAACTTTATGACACATAAATTATACTGCAATAGAATCATTTTAAGAAAAAGACAACATGCCCTAGTAATGTACCTATGTCTGCAACTGATACAAATAAAGGTGACATTCTCTTTTAATTTCAAAGGAAGAAGCTGTATTATGAGAGGGACAATGAAACACTGTATCTGGGGGTGATTATTAAATGTGATTGTTTTCTATTATTTACCTGCAGGGAAGAGGCTGAGCAACTGCAGACTTTACGTGAGGCCTTGAGGCAGCAGGTGGCAGAGCTGGAGTTTCAGTTAGGAGACCGGGCTCGGCAAATCAGAGAAGGGATTCTGCTGGTACGGGCGCTGGGGTGTGAAGTTTGGCTGCATCCAGCCCACTGTAGGAAGGGTGCATTAAATGAGAAACCTAATTGTGCAATCATTTTAGGGTCCAGGGTTATGTGCCATCACCTTTGTTTTCAGTTACAGAGAAGTACTTTGGTTTGCTCAAGGCCACACAGCCAGCTGATGGTGATTCAGGGTTAGAATTCAGTTCACCTAATGTTATGCCAATCTTCCCTTGCCCCATAAATAAAAGAGAAGTACTACTAATTCATTTTGCAAATGAGAACAAGAATCACAGACATGGTGAAGCTCATCTTTGGAGCCTACCCCACAGTCTGCTGCTGGCTTGAAACGCCCGTTCTAGAGAATTCAGCACCTCATAATGCCTTGTTGACAAGTCTGAGTTAGCTGGGGTTTTTTGCAAATGTGATATATTGTCTATTCTTTTTTGTTCTTGTTTTCCTTTTAGGAGCTGGAGCTTTTCACAGAAGAACCACGTGAACACTATACAAATCTCCATCAATAGAACTGGACGAAAGAAAAAAATGGCCAGACTTTATGTGCTAAAATCCACCCAGCCATGGCCCCTGGAGCTGTCTTTCCTCCCAGTGATGGCCAGCAGGCTCTCTGCTCAGGTGGGACCCACTTGGCTGCCTTCACTCCACCCACCTTGGAGAGAAGCACCAGGATGTCTCCTCCACCACCATGTCGGGTGGAGTTAGGTCCAGCCCCTTCGCCAAATTGTCTTGTTGGAGAAAAGGATACAAATGTGTTCCTCTAGATACAAGTAGTTTGGTAGCCTACATGCAAGCTGTAGCAAGGAAAAAAATCTAAATTTCCCCCAAGGAGAGGGATCTACCAAACTTTCATCAGCTTTTTTTTTCTCTTCATATTCTACCCTATACTTAAATCTAGGAGGGGCTTGGAATATTTTAATATTCATTCAATATAGAATACAAAAGCACCCTAGTATGTGCCTGGCACAGGGTATACAGTGGTGACCAAATAGTATACAGTCTCTTCCCTGCTGGAACTCAGCCTAGTGGGGGAGATAGAATATAAATACATATACACTTTTATAATTAAAAACAGTGACAGTGCTTTGAAGGAAATAACAAGGTTTTATGAAAAAGAACATAGCAGGGAGTCTGATAGAGCAGGTGTCAGGAGGGCATACTTGGAGGAATGACAACAGAACAGGAAAAGAGTGTCCGTGCCTCACAGGTACCAGTGCCCCAAAGCCTCCATCCAGTCAGCCAGTGGGAGTATCAGTGAAGCCCCTACTGTGTGCCAGGAACTCTTACAGTGCTGGATACAGCTGGGAACGAGACAGAATTTCTACTCATAAACAGTTGGAAGAAGAATAAGACAAAAAACCCCAAACCCAATAAACAAACAATTTCAATCCTCACAAGTGCCACAGAGAAGACACTGTGACGACACTGCAGAGGGTGACGTAGCGTGGAAATTGCACTGCGTGAGTCCAGGCAGGGAGGGACTCGCTACAGGAAGGCTATTTGGGTAAGAGCTGCAGGTGAGGGAGAGGCAGCCTGAGGAGATGCTGGGAGAGGGCATTTACAGCAGGAGGGATGGAGGGCCACAGGCCTGGAGACGCACAAACAGCCAGTGCTGACAAGTGGCGCGGAGGAGAGGAAGTCTGAGCGCTGGGCGGGGCCGACGACATGACTCCACACTAGGGCCAGGAGTCTAAGAGCCCAAGTTCTTTTCATAAGGGCAATGGAAAGCCATTGCAGGTTTAAACAGGGCTGTTGCATGATGCCATTTACGTTTTTCAGTCTCTCTGGCTGCCCTGTGAAGAGCGCACCACAGGGCCCAGCGTGGGGCCCAGCTCCGAGCTCCGGGCGGGCGGGAGGCTGCTGGGTAATGCCAGGGTGGGAGGCTCCACCCCAGAGGAAATGCAGGGCGCTGTACACACAGGCCGGGGGCACTGGGCTTGTAAGGAATGAGGACTATATGAAGAATGGAATAGTCAGGAAAACCTGCATGGAAAAGGAACACCGGGAGGGAAGTTTATAATTTGTGTGAGAATATGGGCAGGCAGAGGCCCCTTCCTAGCAAAGAGCCGAGAGTCTGTTCCTTCTGCCTGCTACCAGAACCGCGCTCATGGCTGTTTTCCTTGTTTCTGCATCCTCCTGGGAGCCAAGCTGTCGCAGTTGACCCAGCACATGCCGTGGTAGTTGACCGGCTCTGAGGGAGCGATCCTCCTTGCCTTTGGGAAAGCCTTTGACTCAGGGGCCCTCCCACCCTTGGGACCATCCCGCTGTTTCCTCCATCACCTGCATGTCCTCCCAGTATGGAAATCCCCATTCTGTCCCCAAGTCTCTTCTTTCACTCTCTCCATTCCGCCTCCATCTATATACACACACACACACATGCACTCAAGGCATCTACACCCCAATTCCCAGCTCTCTCCAGAGTCCCTGCCCAGCGGTTTCTACTGCCCACAAGACGTAGTCACCTGAAAGACGTGCCCCTGAGTCCACTCAGTTCCTAAAACTGATCTGGTCGTTGCCGTAAACCCGCCCACCGTCCAGCTACTCTCTCCGTCAGCGGCATGGCCTTTGTCCTTGCTGGCGGGCCCACAGCCGCGGTGGGCGACATCTACACACTGCTGCCTCAGAGTCAGTTAGCTACCACATCACTACCGAGTTTACTGCCTCAAGGAAGCCCCCAAAAGCCCCCTCAGAACCAACACCTGGTGACAGCACATGCAGGGGCCTCCTAACTGCCTGCAGCCTTCTTCCCTCTAAACTCCACTGGCCTCTGCTAAGCTCTCCCTCAGGCACCACGTGGGTCCTGTTTCACATACCCAGGGCGAGTATCATGGAAATACTTTCAGAATTTCCCTGAGAATGAGAGAGAAATCCCAGGATCATACCACCCAGAGCAGCCTTCCACCAAAAATAAAACTCCACGCCCTCGCGTCACTGTGCCTCTTTCCTCGCCTCCCCCTGCCATGTCTCCCTTGGCCACGTCCCCATTTTGGCTCCTACATCACAGCTCAGCTGCCAGCCAAACTGACTCCTGGTAAATTAATTGCATTTGTTCCCCACCCCACCCCCGAATGTTTCCCTTTCTAACCTCCTTAAGCTCTTTACTCTTCATCTGGGTCTGACTTTTAGCTTCCAGTTCCCCACGTAGACTTTGAGCTTGCCTGACGTTTCTACCTTGTTCCTTCCCCGCAACACCAAGTGAATGAAGAAGAATGCCCAGCTCTGGGCCCTCCCTGACCTGACAGCCATCTGCCTTACAAGTCTCATATCCTGCTCTGCCCCCAAGTGAGTCTTAAATCCTATTCCCCTAAACCAACTCATGCATTCCTGCTCTGTTTCTTTTGCTGATAATACACATGAAGTGTCTCTCCAGCAATTCTGGGTCAGACCCCATCTCCTGCACAGGCTTTCTCTGATGATCTCTGGCTGTAGGGGTCCCTATTTTTTGTAACTCCTATATCATCCAAATGCATCTTTATTATTAGGACACTTGTAACTTATGCCTTGTGTTACCATTATCCGCATAGGTTGTATTTTCTCCACCAAACTTAAAGCTCCTTGAGAGCTGTGTAGCACTCTTTACCCTTGGATTTAAAAGAGATTTTCAGGATGAAAGTATGGACTCCCTCCTTTACCATGTGTGACCTCGGGCACCTGCTCTCTTTACCCTGATTTCTTCCTTTGTAAAATAGGGATAAGAACAACAAATCGACTATTTTCAAAAAAAAAAGTCTAGTGTTATTGGACAGAATAAAATAGAGTAAATCCTGTGCACTGTTTAATTCAGTGCCCATCACATGTAAGTGTTCAGTGTATGCTGGCTATTATTACAAGTGCACATACCAAGAACTTAATAAATGCAAGCTGTAATGATCTTCCTTCTGTTGAAAAGTACTCTGTTAGCAAAGTAGTTTATGCACGAAGAATATTAACAAATTCTTGATGAATGAATGAGATGGGAATAAACTAGCAGTCTCAGGAGACAGTGAAGAGAATGGTCTTACTGTGGCAGAAGCACTATTTTAGGTTGTAGTAGGAGCTAAGTTTAGATTTTAAAAGGGGGTTCATTTATGGATGGATTTGGCAATCAGGCAGATGACTTTGGATATGGTGAAGGAGGAAAAAGAGACTCAATTCTGCCGAAGGATAGTATATGGAATCCCCAAAGATCTCCAAACATTCAATGGTATTTCCTGGTTTACTCTCCTAACTCTCCAACAAAGAGCACAAAAGGGGAACTGAAATGAAGAGAGGCTGTCCCATCCCACCCAGAAGCTTTGCTATCTTTACGAGCATGATGAACTGATTGCTGATGCTGCTTCCAAATACCACCCCCATCTCAGGCCTTCAGACTCAGACTAGACTACACCACCAGATTTCTTGTTTCATACAATAAATCTCCTGACATACACAGAACTAAGATAATGAGATAGTGACCTACAAAGGTACACACTGAGTCCTGTAGGTTATTCTTAATAAGAAGCAACTGAGCTCTGGGATTAAATCCAGGGTTGGGGGCTTAAATCCAACTCCACTACTTATTATTTATGTTGGATAAACTATTTAGCCTCCCTAAGCTTCAGTGTCATTATCTGTAAGTTTACAGAGTTAATGCACTCCAGCCCTTTAGAGCAAGCCTGGAACATGGTTAGGGCTCAGTAAACAGTAGTGTTGATAATTAGGATGATGGTGATAATAACAAGAATAGATGCGGTTTACAGAATATCTACCTATGGGCAAGGTAGTGGGCTAAGCACTTTATGTGCATTATCTCTTATCTTCACAATAATCCTGAGAGGTAGGAATTAATTCACACATGCACGTGCACACAGACACACACACACACACACACACACACACTCACACTCACTCACTCACTCAAAAAGACTAGATCATCTAAGGTCTGGCAGCGAGTAAGGGATTGAGTTGACTTTCTGATTTCCCAATTTGTTAAACCAACGGCTCATCATTATGACTCTCCCAAGCCTTGGGGCTTATGTGGAGCCCACTGATAGCCCAAATCAACCAGAGTAGCCCTGCTTATGTCTGCATTAAACATTGGGCATTAGCAGAGATTTTTATCTTAAGAAAAAGATCTCATTGCTATAGATAGGCTTGAAAAACACTGCACTGTGCTGATCACATCTGACTCTTGTGGTCACACATAGGTTCTGAGTCACTTTCATACAAGGAGATGACTTCTACCACGTAGGAATCCTCCTGAACCTGCCACCCTAGCAACTCCTGGCTCACCACCACTTCCCCACTGCCAAGAATAATGGCAAGACTCCCTCTGCAGTCCCTGGGGAATCTTACTGTTCTATCATCAAGTCCCAAGTCCCTGTATTCTCTTTTTTCTCTTATATGTTGACCATATTCAAGCTGACTGTATTCAGGAAAATCCAGACCACATATTTGAAAACAGAGGGTATTGTAGTAATAAATATTAGCAGAAAATTAACTTAGCAAATCTTTTAATTATAAAGCCAAACTCAGGGTCAAAGTCATTTCATATAAATGAAAAAGAAGAAAAAATAGAATTGCACTACCTGATTAGTTTCAAATTTAGATGTTATCCAGGGAATAATTTGGCCTCTTCTACGTCAAAATACAAGGGTCCTTTCTTGTTAACAATTTCATTCCATCCAGATTCCATTTCAGTATTCAAAACCAAACGCTTTGAATAGAGAGGACTGATTTAAGAAACAATACTTGGAAACTCAAGTCACATCTTTTCCTTGGTTTCTTTATGCATAAGTGAAGACCCAAGTTGCATCATGGAGACAAAAAGATGAAACCTTCAAGGTTGCTCTGAACCGTAGTGTATGAGTCAGCCATGCACATTTGTGTAAGGAAATTCATTTTTTAGCCCACAGAAAAACATTGCTCAGAAAAGTGTCCCATTAGATTTTGTTTATTTAACAGATATTCTCTTAAATGTGGATTTATGTCTGCAGAGCTGGAGCCTTTTTTTTTTCTTCAAAAGGAAATGATTCTGCTAAAGATGAAAAAAGAAAATTAAAAGACACTTTCTAATGACATGAGAATCTGGTCTATTGTAATTGTTTTTTCTTTGTTGAGAAGGTAATTAGTTTCCACGGTGTAACACAAGTCAAATAAAATAGAACATTTGTAGAGCAGTTAAAGGATAAAAGTAGTTTCTCTTTGAGAAGAAAAAGTTTCAGAGTATTTTCACATAGAATGGGAGCTGCATATCTAATTTCAAATTGTAATTTAGACAACAAATAGCAGCCATGATTTGCAAGGAATATAAGTTATTAAAGATGATGTCAAATTGTCTTTTTTAAAAATTGAAAGAATAGGAACAGAAGCCAAAATGTGGATAGCACCCTTCTCTGATTAAAACTCAGCCTACAATAGTCTCATTTTAAAACAGCAACAGACCAGAGGTTGGCATGGGATGTTCCCTCTCTGAATCTGTCCCCAGTTAAGTAAAGAAAGAACCATTTACATCAAGAATGATTTCAAGTCATAAGAATCAAATTGAAAAATTTTCCTTTTTGGGTTTTTTAAGAACCCAATGCCACCCAACGCTGGTAATCCGCTCCAGCACTCAGAGCCCATCCTTCTCCTGTTCATTCACCAAGAAAATGGAAGTGAAAGAAAACGTTTCCGAAATGTACCAATACTGGCTTCATTCCCATAATCAGTCAGCAATTGCTTACTTGCTAGTGACAATGTACCAGAGTCACAGGACATCTATATTTTTCTTTTTAGTAAAAATTTAAAGTATTTGGATGCAGTTGATAAGATTTAAGAAATAGAATAGATGTCCAGCATTTTCTTTCCCCAAAAGCAAGTGTTTATATATGTTTTTAAAAGTGCTTTTATCTACTTTGAATCTATATTATTCTGGGGACATGGGTAGGCATTTGTCAAAAGCATTGCTTTGTTAGCAATTCCTATGAATAAAATAAAATAATTTACTACTATTTTGTATTACCCACTGACATAATTAAGCTGCTGAACCTTGTGAACTTCACATTGCTTTGATGAGTACATTAACACTGATGTACGTTGGAGGGGAAGATTTCCTGCTCTGGACAGCAGCATCACTCTCATTCCTGCCCAGTCTCATTACTTACCTGCCTGTCCCACGAGGCCCCAAGACCCACCAACCCCTGGGCTTCTTCCTCCCCATGGGGGCTCCAGAGCCAGGTAGTACAAGGAATATCCAGGTTATTTGTTTAGGACTTGGTCACTATATGTGTCTACTTTTGTATTTTATTTTAGAGAACAATTTCCTACTCCCCATTTAAGCTGAATAAATGTAGAGCCATGGGTCACACATTTGCTTTCTCTGAAAACTCCTTATTAAAATAGGAATGCTTTTTGAAATTTAAAAGGTTTCCTTTCCTGTAGTTTAGTGATCTACTTTCTGAAAAGCTACAGGTTGCAAGAATACTTTGCATAGCCTTTTGCAAAACATTCGAGTTGTTCAGAACTAAGGCAGAAACTTCCAACTCTATCTTATGTACCTCTACAACTTTCATAACATCTGGTAACAGTACCCTGCTCATAGTCACTTCCTTATAAATGCTTACTGAAATAAAGAAAACTGTTTTTATCTGTATAAAACAATGTTTTGGTATTTCTCTTCATTAATGATCAAAGTGAGCTATATCTAAACATATATCTATGTAAAACCATGGTCTACTATATTATATAGCATTCCCTTTATAAAGACACACTACCAAGAAAGGCTAGAATATTCTGGAGGAACTGAATTTATTTATTCTGAAAATTGATTGTGTCCTTCTTCCTTTGTGTGTGTGTGTGTGTGTGTGTGTGTGTGTGTGTTAGTTTGGTTAAGTAAATCAGAAACTATTTTGCAGCCCACCTGTGGCTACTGTGCATAAAAACAGAACAAAATTTTTGAACAATTCTTATTTCTGACTTTATCTTCTTTCCCAAACATTATTTTCCCATTCTTCTGATTTCTTCATTTTTTTTTTCTATCATAGTGGCTTTCCTTTTTTTTCTGTAAACCACCTCAAATCTCTTGGGTGGAACTTTATATAAGACAATTAATAAGTATATACACATTTGTTAAAATATGAAAATACATATCCAGGGAAAATAACCAGCAGTAATATCATTAGAAAGCCAATCAAGCAACAAATACATATTGTGTTCCAATTACAAACAAAACACTTAGAAATGATGTTGGTGATAAAAAGAAATGTGATGAAGTACCTGGCTGCAAAGGAATTAGATGTGTTGAAGAGAGAGTGTAGATAAGCTCAAGAAAAGATAATAGCAAGAAAAGGAAGAAATAAAATTCGGTACTACAAGAGAGGTATGTGATTGTCAATAAGTCTGTATCAACCCATTTTCCACATTCAGAATCACATTAATGAATACAGGAGTCCTGTGGCTATTTAGAGCATCCCAACAGGCCAGCATATGTTATACATGTAAAACAATGTCCATGAGAAGGTGTGTTTCTTCCTAGGACACGCTATGCTATTATACCCAGGATATAATGAAGAAACTGCTAAAACATGGCAAACCTATGGACTGCTACCTCCTCCTGTTGATTCATCCGAGAGAGTTATTGACCACACAGGGAGGGAAAGTCTTTGGAAGAAAATCTAAAGATTTGAGAATCCTGTTATTTCTCTTACTTCTTCCTAGTACAAGTCAGAACTTTAGACAATAAAAGATATAATGGGTGCCCCTTGACATGAGGTGCCCCTTTTAGTAAGCTAAACGAGAAGTGTAGATCTTGACCTGACACCTGGAAATGATGCTTTCTATTCCCATCTTCCTTCGCAGCGAAAGGCCTGGAATAATAGCATATCTGTTCATCATTTCTTTATTTCCCATTTACTCATCAACCTAATACAGCTTCTCTTCTACCTCTGCCATTCCACCAAAACTGATCTGGAAAATTGACCAGTGACCTCCTAACTGTAAAACCAATCAAATTGCTTCTATCTTTATTTGATTCATGTACAACAATGTAGCACAGTGTTTAAAAGCTTGGTACAGAAAGTCCAACTTATGTTCTTAAAAATTGTAGCTAACTTGGGTAACACCCAATCACTCTGAATCTATAGTTCTCCACCTATGTAAAAAGAAAAGAAAAATCAAAACTGATTGTGCTAATATCTATCTTAAGGATCTTTTTATGATTTTCAACTATATAAACATTTTTTTAAAAAACCACAAAACAAAAATAAAAAACTTGATGGTGCTAGTACCCACCTCATAGGTTTTTGGAGACTGGATAAAATGACAGCTCCCAAAAGGGCCTGGCAGGAAATCATGCCAAGTATTCCTACTTAAAGTTATTAGTCCCATTTGCAGAATTTGAGACTGTTGACTATACGCTCCTTAGATAGTTTCCCTTTTTGTCCATGTTACAGCCTATCTTCAGATCTTCTCTTCCCTCTCACTTGCATCCATCTCATTTTATCCATTAATTCCTTTCCTCTGACTATAATACTTCCTACATGTTGATAGTCCCAAAGGTTCTCTCTTGAATCTATTCTTTTCTATTTTCTCCTGAATAATCCTATTTCCCCTTTTATTCTCCAAATGCAGATAGCTCACATATTCATGTATCTTACACAGACTCTGTTCTCCCTTCCAGCTGGCTATCAGAGTCATCATTTCCCTCTTTAAGCCAGATCTATGTGGCCTATGTTACCTGTATCAGGTAAAGAGACCAACTATACCCTTTGTTTTTATAGGGTACCAGTCCTTCCAGAACCCTGGGGAGCTGGAAATGTCATATTTTCAAGGCCACCTGGACATCAACTCTATTTATTTACCTCGAAGGGTAAATAAATAGAGTTGATGTCCAGGTGGCCTTACTGATGCTGATTTTAGTAAGGACCAGGAGGAGCCCAATATCTGCTAAAATTTCTTTAAATGAACATGCAGAGATTTTAGTAAAGGTTATTCAAAAGTGATGAGATTAGCCCTGAGTAGGAAAAAATTTGAAATGTAGCAAAAATTGGCTGATTGTCAGATCTGGAAGACTACTCTCCACAGACAGAATCACCTCTACCTGCGTGTCCACCAAGAAGTATAGGTACTCGAAAAAAAGAAACAACACAACTCAATAGTCTGTATTGTGTCCCACCCTGCGTATATAGTCCACTTCCAATAAGTTTCTGGAATCTTGGCCAATTATGAACTCACAGTGTCTTTGTGTCTGATGTGTATGTTTGTGATATCTGAAAGTATGCATGTATGTGTCTGTGTATACTGTCTAATACATGTGTCACTCTGTGTGATTTACACATGTACAGCGTGTTGGTTTTGTCCTGTAAATCTGTACATCCCTAAAATGCTACAGTTACTTTTATCCAGAGTCCTATGAGTCATCCTTGAATCTTCCACAAAAGATTCTACAAATTATGTAGAACCCTCAATTCACTTCCCATTCCTTCTGCTACTACTTTGTTCTGCCCCTTTCGTCCTCTACCACGGACGATTCAAATTCTCCTAAGTGACTTCATTTCTCAAATGTTTATCCTCTAATCCATACTTACACCGAAACAACCAAAAAACTCTGACTGTGCTATTCTCTAATTTAAAAGTCTTCAATGGATTCTTATTACATGCAAAATACAGTCTAAACTCTTTTTGTTGTCCTACAGAGTTCCACCACCCCCATCTATCTGGCTTTATCCCATCCAAATTCCTCTTCAGAGTATGCTGATCATAAAGCTCTGCCACCCCAATCTTCTACTTAGAATTCAGAACCTATTCCTGCTGCTGCTAGAAATTACCCTCACCTGGAGAACTGCTTTGCTCAAGGTCATGTCTCTTTTCTCAGGGTAACCTGCAGCCAGTGACTGGCAATTATGGGGGTTTGTAGCCCATTACCTCCAATCTCAACTGGGGACCACTTTTTAAGAGTCATCCCAGCTTCAGAGCTCCCTGGAGTCACCAGAGATCTTTCTTGTGACTACAGTCAAATTTCTCCGTGTGCCCAATCCTGCTTTCTTCTCTTCTCTCACAGATATTAATCAAAGAGCATTCCTAATAAACTCCAAAATCTCCATCTCAGAATCTGCTTCCTTTGGAACCTAGCCTGTAACACTGTTTTAGTTTGAATTTCTCAGAAGCAGACCCTGAAATAAGGATATAATTAAAGTCCTTTATTTGAGAAGTGATCCCCAAAACACGCATAAGATAGGGGGGATGCAGGAGAGGGAAGGGATGAAAACGAGAAATGTACACATTATGAAGCAAGTTACAACAGGGGGAAACCAGAGCTTAATTCCACTGCAGAAGTCTGAGGCTGAGTGGAGAACGGGCTTCAGAATATCCTGTCCAAGGGTGTCAGAGCTGGAGTATGTATTCAACTCTTGTTAGTCATCAGTTTAGAGCTGCTCCAGTAGTACTTATTTTCCAAGTGCAATCAAATTGCTGTGGTGTGCAGGAAAGCTGGATCTGGCACTCCATCAATGCATTATAGGATTGGCAGTTGGAAGTTGGGTTGGAGGGCAAAAAAAAAAAAAATACATATGTGTTACAATAACCAAACAACTTAAAGTTGTACAAATGTCCAAAGAAATCATTGCAAATTGTGTTCATGTTTCTTCCTGATACTAGGTGCCTACTTTATTACTATACAACCACTTGCACCATTGGGATACACCTTTGAAGAACTCAATCAAACACACATGAGAAGGCGTGTTTCTTCCTAGGACACGCTATGCTATTATACTCAGGATATAATGAAGAAACTGCTAAAACATGGCAAACCTATGGACTGCTACCTCCTCCTGTTGATTCATCCGAGAGAGTTATTGACCACACAAGGAGGGAAAGTCTTTGGAAGAAAACCTAAAGATTTGAGAATCTTGTTGTTTCTCTTACTTCTTCCTAGTACAAGTCAGAACTTTAGGCAATAAAAGATATAATGGCTGCCCCTTGACATGATGTTAGTAAGCTAAACGAGAAGTGTAGATCTTGACCTGACACCTGGAAATGATGCTTTCTATTCCCATCTTCCTTCACAGTGAAAGGCCTGGAATAATAGCATATCTGTTCATCATTTCTTTATTTCTCATTTACTCATCAACTAATACAGCTTCTCTTCTACCTCTGCCATTCCACCAAAACTGATCTGGAAAATTGACCAGTGACCTCCTAACTGTAAAACCAATCAAATTGCTTCTATCTTTATTTGATTCATGTACAACAATGTAGCACAGTGTTTAAAAGCTTGGTATAGAAAGTCCAACCTTATGTCTTAAAAATTGTACTAACTTGGGTAAACTACCCAATCACTCTGAATCTATAGTTCTCCACCTATGTAAAAAAGAAAAGAAAAGAAAAATCAAAACCTGATTGTGCTAATATCTATCTTATAGGATCTTTTTATGATTTTTCAACTATATAAAACATTTTTTTAAAAAACCCACAAAACAAAAATAAAAAACTTGATGGTGCTAGTACCCACCTCATAGGATTGTTTTGGAGACTGGATAAAATGACAGCTCCCAAAAGGGCCTGGTTGGAAATCATGCCAAGTATTCCTACTTAATGTTATTAGTCCCATTTGCAGAATTTGAGACTGTTGACTATACGCTTCTTAGATGGTTTCCCCTTTTGTCCGTGTTACAGCACTATCTTCAGATCTTCTCTTCCCTCTCACTTGCATCCATCTTCATTTATTCCATTAATTCCTTTCCCTCTGACTATAATACTTCCTACATGTTGATAGTCCCAAAGGTTCCCTCCTTGAATCTATTCTTTTCTAATTTCTCCTGAGTAATCCTATTTCCTCCTTTTATTCTCCAAATGCAGATAGCTCACATATTCATGTATCATACACAGACCTCTGTTCTCCCTTCCAGCTGGCTATCAGAGTCATCATTTCCCTCTTTAAGCCAGATCTATGTGGCCTATGTTACCTGTATCAGGTAAAGAGACCAACTATACCCTTTGTTTTTGTAGGGTACCAGTCCTTCCAGAACCCTGGGGAGCTGGAAATGTCATATTGTTCAAGGACACCTGGACATCAACTCTGTTTATTTACCCGGTAAATAAATAGAGTTGATGTCCAGGTGGCCTTACTGATGCTGATTTTTAGTAAGGACCAGAGGAGCCCAATATCTGCTAAAATTTCTTTAAATGAACATGCAGAGATTTTAGTAAAGGTTATTCAAAAGTTATGAGATTAGCCCTGAGTAGGAAAAAATTTGAAATGTAGCAAAAATTTGGCTGATTTTCAGATCTGGAAGACTACTCTCCACAGACAGAATCACCTCTACCTGCGTGTCCCACCAAGAAGTTAGGTACCTGAAAAAAAGAAACAACACAACTCAATAGTCTGTATTTGTTCCCACCCTGCGTATATAGTCCACTTCCAATAAGTTTCTGGAATCTTGGCCAATTATGAACTCACAGTGTCTTTGTGTCTGAGTGTGTGTGTCTGTGTTGTCTGAAAGTATGCATGTATGTGTCTGTGTATACCGTCTATACATGTGTCACTCTGTGTGACTTTACACATGTACGCGTGTTTGGTTTTGTCCTGTAAATCTGTACATCCCCTAAAATGCTACCGTTACTTTATCCAGAGTCCTATGAGTCATCCTTGAATCCTTCCACAAAGGATTCTGCAAATTATGTAGAACCCTCAATTCACTTCCCATTCCTTCTGCTACTACCTTGGTTCTGCCCCTTTCGTCTCTACCATGGACGATTGCAAAATTCCTCTAAGTGACTTCATTTCTCAAATGTTTATCCCTCTAATCCATACTTACACCAGAACAACCAAAAAACTCTGACTGTGCTATTCTCTAATTTAAAAGTCTTCAATGGATTCTTATTACATGCAAAATACAGTCTAAACTCTTTTTGTTGTCCTACAGAGTTCCACCACCCCACCTCTATCTGGCTTTATCCCATCCAAATTCCTCTTCAGAGTATGCTGATCATAACAGCTCTGCCACCCCAATCTTCTACTTAGAATTCAGAACCTATTCCTGCTGCTGCTAGAAATTACCCTCACCTGGAGAACTGCTTTGCTCAAGGTCATGTCTCCTTTCTCAGGGTAACCTGCAGCCAGTGACTGGCAATTATAGGGGTTTGTAGCCCATACCTCCATCTCAACTGGGGACACTTTTTAAGGGTCATCCCAGCTTCAGAGCTCCCCCTGGAGTCACCAGAGATCTTTCTTGTGACTACAGTCAAATTTCTCCGTGTGTTCAATCCTGCTTTCTTCTCTTCTCTCACAGATATTAATCAAAGAGCATTCCCCAATAAACTCCAAATCTCCATCTCAGAATCTGCTTCCTTGGAAACCTAGCCTGTAACACTGTTTTAGTTTGAATTTTCTCAGAAGCAGACCCTGAAATAAGGATACAAATTCAAGTCCTTTATTTGAGAAGTGATCCCCAAAACACGCATAAGGTAGGGGGGATGCAGGAGAGGGAAGGGATGAAAACGAGAAATGTACACATTATGAAGCAAGTTACAACAGGGGGAAACCAGAGCTTAATTCCACTGCAGAAGTCTGAGGCTGAGTGGAGATCAGGCTTCAGAATATCCTGTCCAAGGGGTGTCAGAGCTGGAGTATGTATTCAACTCTTGTTAGTCACCAGTTTAGAGCTGCTCCAGTAGTACTTATTTCCAAGTGCAATCAAATTGCTCTGTGTGCAGGAAAGCTGGATCTGGCACTCCATCAATGCATTATAGGGATTGGCAGTTGGAAGTTGGGTTGGAGGGCAAAAAAAAAAAAATACATATGTGCTACAATAATCAAACAACTTAAAGTTGTACAAATGTGCCAAGAAATCATTGCAAATTGTGTTCATGTTTCTTCCTGATACTAGAGTGCCTACTTTATTTACTATACAACCACTTGCAACCATTGGAATACACCTTTGAAGACTCAAATCAAACACAACCTCCTCTTGAAATGATATCTTTTTACTTTAATAGAGTAAGAACTACTCCCTCCCTTGTGCCTTTAGGGTACCGTGTATGGACTCCTACCTTAACACAAAAGTCTACATGGCATTTAATTGCTCACATTTCCAACTTAGCCTGGTTGTCAGAGTAAGTTTCTTGAAAGAAGAGGCTAAATTGTCTTTCTTGTATCACTTAACACCATATCTAAAAGATGGTAGGATAATATGGTGAAAAAATACATTTTATATTTCCACACCTGGTCCCCAGGATTAAAGCCTGAATGGTATTTTCACTTGGTATGAAAATTTGGGTTAAGACTATAGTTTCAGAGATCATTTCTGTAGTTCTTTACTAGAGAAGTTTTTCTGAGCATGTAGAGCACCAAAAACCACGAGAGGAAGCACAACATTCTCTCCTGAGTGTGAAGCCAACTCTTGGTGTTGCTTTGCTGCATCTGCCATTTGCTATTGATAATTATTCTTCTGTCCCTATTCGGTTTCGTGTCCCTATTTGGTAAAACAAGAGGCAGAGGACAGGGTCTAAGTGTTTTCTCAAAAAAAAAAAAGAAAATCTGGGTTGAGAGTTCTTTTCTTTCAATGCTTTAAAAATGTTATTACACTGCTTTTGGTTTCCATGGTTTCTAATGAAATCTGTGATCTTTCAAATCATTGATCCCTTATATATAAAATCCTATTTTTCTCTGGCCTTTTGTAAAATTTTTGTTTTGTATTATTTTCTGCTCTTTGATTATGATGAGTCAGAACATGGTTCGCTTTGAGTTTATCCTCTTTCAAATTTCCTGAACTTCTTCCATCTGCTAAATATATATCCTTTTCCAAAGTTGGGAAATTTTCAACCATTATTTCTTCAATGATATTTCTGCACAAAATTCTTTCTCCTTTCCATCAGGACTGCAAGAAAATTGATATAAGAATTTTGATATTGATATTTTGAGACCCTGTTCATCTTCTATCAAACTTTTTTCCCCTCTGTGTTTTCCATATTAAATAATTTTTATTGACCTAACTTCAAGTTCATTGACTCTTTCCTTTCTCACCTTCATTTTGAAGTCCTCCAGTGGACTTTTTATTTCTCTTATTGTATCTTTCAATTCTAAAATTTCTATTTGGTTCTTTGATATACCTTCTATTTCTTTGTTCATAATGCCTATCTTTCCATTCAGAGCATTCACCCTTACTTCATGGGTCATCATTGTGAAAGGTGCTTTAAAGACTTTATGATATTTCCTATACCTGAGTCATCTTGAAGTTTGCATCTGTTGATTGTTTTTTCCCTTGAAAGATGTTAAGATTTTCCTGGCTCTTTGTATGTTGAGTAATTTTAGATTGTATCCTAGACATTTTGATTTTATGCTATGAGACTCTAGGTTTTGTTAAAAATTTTCTGGAGAATGTTGATTTTTGTTTGCTTGTTTTATATTAATGAGCAATCAACTCAGTTAGGTTCAGACCATAGTCTTGACTCACCTGCACACTGTGGTTCCAGAGTCCGTTTATTTTTCACAGCATTTCTCTATTATCTGTCTTACTCTGTGCATGCACCACTCAGGAGTCAGTCTGGGACCTGGGTGATGGTCTACACTGTAGTTACGTTTTCAAAGCCTTTACTATCTTACTTCTGATCACTATGTATAGACAGCTAAGTGCTGAGCATAAGATATTAATATTATACACAGACTTAAAAGATTCTTTCCTCCAGTTACCTCTTATCTATGGATCTTCCAAGCTCTCTGACTTTCATGGGCTCCTTTTCCCAGCTCTGGCTAGAAACCTATGCATTAGCTTCCCTGCACTGTCATTAACTTCCTGCAACTGAGTCTACCTTAGGGCAAAGTGGCAAGAGGAAAGAATCGCCAGTCTCTGCTGCTCTAGCTGCCACCTCTGAGTCCACATCCACTGTTGCTGCTATTGCTACACCTGGGAAAGCTACTTTGTTATGAGACATATCTGCAGTGGGGCTGGGAGAAGTAAAAGATTTCTGCTTCCCAGGGGCTCCTTCCCCACTCCTTTCACCCAAGAGACAGAGTTTTTCTAGAAACTCTCTGTTAGCACCTTTTTCACAGCTTTAGGATTTGGGCTTCTCTAGAATCTATGCCAGGACATATGGGAGGGGGGAAAATCAGGAACTCATTTCCATTGAGCGTTTTATTCTTTTCCTCAGTTGACCTGCTATTATTTGCTTTTCAGCATCCTCAGATAGTTGCTCCATATATTCTGCTCAGGACTGTTAGCTGTAATTAGTGAAAAAGATAGAGTAACATGTACTTTCTCCCTCTTAACCAGAACTGAAATTTACCAACCCAATTGTTCTTAATATTCTCTTATTATAGTAAAAAATGCTAACACTTGCTTACCATGTGCTAAATACTGTATGGAGCTCTTTATATGCATGATTTACTTACCATATTTGGGGAAATTTCAATATTTATTCAAATATATTTCTGCGTAAATTTCTTTCTCCTCTGTGTCCAGGACTAATATAAGAACTTTTGATATAGTCTCACAGTTCTTTAAGGTTCTGTTCATTTTTTAATGAAGATTGTTAAGAACAACAAACACTTGAGGAAATATTTTTGTCCCCATTTTAAAGATGAGAAAACAAGGACTTAAGTGAATTGGGGGTTAAGGGGTTAAGTGAATTGCTCAGTGTCACACACTAGAAAACCAGGTATGGTCCTAGGTTGGTCTGACTCCAGCCACCAAACCTTGCATCATGGTACAATACGGCCATGACCAGCTCTGTCACGCAGCCTTGGATTGGGTCAGAGCTGCAGAGCTTACCTGATGGCAGGTAAGGATCACCCGGCAGTCTTCTCTGAAACCTACATTTTCCTAGCTTTCAGCATTGATTAGGTCAGGTTGAAAGATGTGTTTATGCACAAGGCAGGTTGAGATTTAATATTGCTTTGTGTTAGTTATTGGGCAGGTGTTTGTTTAAAGGAAGTGGAAACAGGTGTGTGGGCCCTGATTCAATTACATGATGGAGGGGGACACACTGATCCATGGCCGTTTTCAAGGAGAGATGCTGATTGTGCTAATTAATCAATTGTCTGTCAGAACAAAACAGAACATAATAGAAAATGATGTTCCAGTTGCCATAGGTAGGGAATACAGACGCATGTATCTGGCCCTCCCAGCAACCAGACACAACTGTTTATGATGACAACAATTAAGATGCAGTACCTGAATCTCCAGGGTTACCATGTCTGAGATGGTTAGAAAGAAAGGTGTTTTATAAACTCTTGCCAACAGCATGGGACCTCATCCAACAGGAATAACCTCTCAAAGGAACATTTCCCTTCAAAGAGATTAATTCATTAATTCAGTCTTTCTAGATCAAGAGGAGATTCCTGAGATATGGCTGAAAGGGACATTTTCCTTTCTGTGTCTTGGAACTCTCAATGTACCTTACACAAACAAGATGGTTTTGCTCATAATGGAGTAACACAATAATATTTAATTCATTCTTCCATTTATCCACTTGCCACTCAACAGCCAGAATGGCCTTTTAAAAACATAAAATCAGGTACATCAGCCACCTGCTTAAGAATCACCAATGGCTTTTCAGTACTTTAATTTAAAATTAAATCCCAACTCCTTACCAAGATCTGCAAAGATCTACATAAACCTGACCTTGCATAGCTGTCTGACTTCATTGCATACCACTCTCTTCCTTTCTCACTATGCTCCAACTTCATTGGTCTTCTTGATGTTTCCTGAACACATTGAACTCATTCTCATCTCTTGGGCTTTTCCCTTGCTGTTCCCTCTTTGCATTTGCTTTTCTTCTTAGATATTCGTATGGCTGTTACCTTCTCATTCAGATTTCTGTTCAAATGTCACCTCTTCAAAAAGACTTCCTTGACAACTCTATCGAAAATAAGGGTTCTTCTTACACACATTTCTGCATAGTCTCTATCCACTTACTCTACTTTTGTTTTCTTCATACCATGTATTATCTGGATTTTTATTTCTTTGTTTATTTGTTTAGAAGCTGTCTCCCCTACCAGAACGTAAGCTTCATGAAGGAAAAATGTCTTTATCTTCTTTGCACGGTTTATCTCCAGGCCTAAAACAATAGTAAGTTCACAAAAGGATTAGGTGAGTGAATGGAGATGATAATTAATCAAAATACATTAATTAATTAATCAATATATCAGCACTAATAAACATACTCTATACATAAACAAGACACAGTCTAATTCAACAACTTTTTTTAGTTTGGGAAGGAAAACACATATAGTTAACAATCTGTCCATGTTACTTCTTTGTTAATACCTTTCAAAAACACTCTGTCAGATAACAGGGCTCCTGAGCCTGAGATCATCATTTTCACAAGTCAGTGGAGAAGTTGAGAAAAAATTATATTAGGACAACATGGCAAGTCTTTAATAAGTGGCAGTGTTATTCCTCTTGCTTCAGGGTTACATCTGGTAAATTAGAGGAGTTGTCTCAAGTTGGTTGCTGTGTTAATCTGTTTTGCATTGCTATAAAGGAATACCTAAGACTGGGTAATTTAGACAGAGAAAAGGTTTCATCTGGCTCATGCTTTGCAAACTGTACAAGAAGCATTGCGCCAACATCTGCTTCTGGTGAGAGCTTCTGAGAACTTCCAACCAGGGCAGAAGGCAAAGGAGGAGCAGGTGTGACACATGGTGAGAAAGAACAAGAGAAGGAGGAGGTGGTGCCAGACTCTTTTTTTATATGCGAACTATTTATTCAACTATTATATTTAAAATTTATTCTTCAAAGAGGCCACAAAAATTGCAGCATTCTGAAATTTCAGGTAAAACTCTTCAAGAGTAAGTTGTTCTTTTATTTATTTTTTCTTTTTTAGTTAGCTTGTATCAAGTTTAGCAGCAAGGGGATACTTCTTTAGAGACTTTTAGTTGATTTCAGACTCGGTTTCTGCTAGTACCATGTACTGTTTGGTCACATTTTTCATAATTGGTCAGTGATCACTCTCTTGACTCTTGGTTGCTATGAATTCTTTCATCACAAAATTATTTTGCTCGAGGTGTTGCAAACAGCTCTCCTGTGGACTAACAAAGAGACGACTCATTCACTGTCACCACGGGAGGGCACGAGCCATTCATGAAGGATCCGCCCCCATGTCATGACCCAAACACTCAGCCCCACCCCCAACGCTGGGGATGTAATTTCAACATGAGATTTGGACGGGCCAAACGTCCAAACCGTATCATTTTGCACTATCACATGCCTGACTCTAAAATGTGCAATTCCCCTCCAAGTTTTCCCCTCCACTCTAGGCTCCTGCTTGCTTCACCAGGACACAGAACTCACTGCCTGAGACCTGCCCCAACTTGTTACAGTGCTGCCTCCTCCTCACAAGGGCTCGCTTTGAAGCAAGATTCAGTATGGACAGGTGTCTTCCCCTTTGGGACCCCTGTGCCCACTTTTTCAGGCCATTCCCTCTGTTACGATACCTTACTATTCACAAAAGAAAAATCTATTAATAATGAAAAGTTTAAGCTACTTCACATAATTAGTATATATAAATGGAGTCTTATCCCAACTTAGCATCTAAATCCACTTTCTACTTCAAAGAGCACTGTCGAGGTAAAATATAGGCCTCTTTATGTGTCTATGACAATTTTTTCCACACTAATTTCCTAGCTTATAGCAGCAACCAAATGAATTTCCTACATCACGAACTACCTTTTCGGTGCTATATTTGGAAAAGGAACAATAAGGCATCTGTAGACAAACAGAATTTGCGCTAGACTCCTCTTCTTGCCTAAGGGGTTATTTCCTTTGTGCAAACTAAAGTGGGTGGCAAAGAATACGCAGGCTTTGTTAGACCATTACTCATGTAATGAGATTTGAGGTCGGCTATTCAACACACTTTTCAATGGGCACTTTCCCCAGGGCTAAATTGCTGCCTACAGACACTTTAATCATCAAATTTAATTTAGAAAGAAAAGAAGACAAAATGCTTCTTATTTTCTCTATCCCCCACCTTTTTGAGTTTGCAAGATTATCTGAGAGAGGAGGTTTGCACAGCAGGGAACCGTGCTTAACCTTGGAATGTCTGACTCTCATCTGGGACTCCAGCAACTATCATTCCACCCTGTGACAGGTCCCAAGGTATCTCTCCAGGTGACCCAGATATTTCTATGTCAGGAGCCAATCAACCTTGAAAGTATCAGTGATTTGATACCCTGTCTTTCAGTTATGCCCAAGCATTCATATACAAGGCTGAGTATCCCTCATCAGGAATGTTTGGGACCAGGAGTACTTCAGGTTTTGGAAAATTTGCATAATACCAGTTGAGTACCCCTAATGTGAAAATCCAAATCCAAAAATGCTCCAGTGAGCATTTCCTTTGATCGTGATGTTAGCATTCAAAAATTTTTGGATTTTGGAGCATTTCAGGTTTCAGATTTGGGAGGCTCACCCTGTTACCACACGCCCACTTCTCCATAAAATTGAGCCATACCCACCCACTGGTTTCAGATCCTATTCATCAATTCTAAATCCATTCCTGCCTCAGTGCGATTTTTCTTCCAGGTTCTCCCCATTAGGATCCTGCCCATCTACATCCCTGTGAACTTTTTATGCCCCTAATCCCTCTAACTGAGAACTCCTGTCCCATTACAGCTTGGATTCTGGAGAGGTAGAAGTATGCTTTCAAGTAGAGTTGCAGGTAACTGTAGAACTTTAGACCTGGGTCTTGTCTCTAAACTGTTATTTTACTATCTTGTCACCTCTGTTGCCAAGTCTTATTGCACCTCACTGTGGCCACTCATTGCCTTGTACTATGGTGGCAGCCTCACGGGTTCACTGGCTCTCAATTGTCAGCCCTGCTATGCACCCCACACCCCAACCCCACCCTACCAAACTGGGTACACTGGAATGTCTGGTTCTCTTCCACACCATGCCCAGGATAGGGCAATCATGGGACCCTGTCTCAGACCCTCTGTCTACCTCAGTCTCCCATGCTGGCATTTCTGCTGTGCCCACCCTGTATAGCCATGGGTCACTTTGCTGGGTCGTCAGCCAGAATCTCACGTGGGAAGCAGGCTATAAGTCCTCTGAGCTCTGGGATTCCCACACCTCTCTCAGGGAATCCCAGAGATCTAATAGGACACCAGAACCAAGGCATCAAGCCTACACTAATATGAGATTAATTTCCCCTCCTCTCTCTTTCCGAGCTTGTATCATTCCTAGCTCCAGAAGGGTTTTTGTACTTGTATGATACGAATATCCCAACTAGCATAACTTCCATTCTTTCCTGCTTCAAAGATTGATTCCTGATTTGTGAAAACTCAGTTTGGGAATTTTCTAGAAAACATTATTTTTCTTTCCTAAAAGCCCTGCTCCTATGATTATCTTGATAGGGCCTTTACAATCCTCAAAGCTGAACTATAGCTTTTTTGTTCCAGGCCCTTTTCATCCTCCCCTTTCCCACTCTCTGCCAAGTCTTAATGTCAAACAAACTGCTTGGCAAGGGGGCAGGAGGTATATGTTGCCAGGAAGGGAAAATGCATTGTATGGGCTTCAAAAAAAATTATTCAATAGTAAATATTTTATGGGTGTTGTTTCATGGCTGCATCATATTCATTTATAAATTCCAATCCTGCTGATTCTCCATATTGATATATAGATAACTTCTCCTGTTACCAAAGTATCCCCCTCAATATACATATAAAAGAAACTCACCCACAATGACCTTCTTTCCATATAGTCATTATCATTAATTTAAATCCTTGTGAACCTGATAGATGAATTTGTTTTGCGTTTATCTGAATAGTAGTGAGGTTATACACTTTTGACCCTTTCTGATTTCTTCTTTTTTTGTTGTTTTTAATCGTATATTCAAAGACAGAATGATGGCCAAGAGACATGGAAAAATGCTCAACATCTCTAATCATCAGGGAAATGCAAATCAAAACCACAATGAGATATCACTTAACTCCAGTGAGAATGGCCTTTATCAAAAAGTCCCAAAACAATAAATGTTGGCTTGGATGCAGAGAGATAGGAACACTCCTATACTGCTGGTGGGACTGTAAACTAGTGGAACCTCTGTGGAAATTAATATGGAGATACCTCAAAGAGCTACAAGTAGAAATACCATTTGATCCAGCAATCCCATTACTGGGCATCTATCTACCCAAAGGAACAAAAGACATTCTATAAAAAAGACATCTGCACTAGAATGTTTATAGCCACACAATTCATAATTGCAAAGATGTAGAAACAACCCAAGTGCCCATCAATGCATGAATGGATTAATAAAATATGGTATATGTATACCATGGAGTTCTACTTAGCCACAAAAAACAATGGTGATCTAACACTTCTTGTATTATCCTGGATAGAGCTGGAGCCCATTCTACTAAGTGAAGTATCGTATGAATGGACAAACAAGCACCACATGTACTAACCATCAAATTGGTATTAACTGATTACTATAAGTACACATATAGTAATAACATTCACTAGGTGTTGGGCAGGTGGCAGGGGGAAGAGGGGATGGGTATATTCACATCTAATGGGTGCTGTGTGCACCATCTAGGGGATGGACACACTTGAAGCTCTGACTCAGGTGGGGCCAAGGCATTATATGTAATCTAAACATTTGTGCCCCCATAATATGCTGAAATTTAAAAAATGCTAAGAAAAGCAAAAACAAATTATTTGCCAGTTTTTCTATTAAGTGTATGTTTGGGAGTATAGAAATAAATCAAAACCACTCAAATGAGAATAAGCTGAGACGCTGTCTCCAGCACTTGCTATAGTAAGGGAGTCAGCCATCATCGCCTGTGTTTGTCAGAGACGCAGGGGAAGGCCAGGGAGCAAGCTTTATAGTGAAAAACAAAAGGCAGGGAAGGCTTCCCGTCTGCCCTGATTGGAACTTGTTGGCATAAGGAAGCTGGAGGTGTGCTGCCTAGAAGCAGGACATACTGTGTGATTGATTTATGAAGTTTATTTTGCTTTTCTGGTTGGTTTATGGAGTAGGAAGTTGGGGGAAAAATTAGGGAAGTTGACAGTCCTTGACCAAGTCCTTACTGTTTGGACCAAGTCCAATTGCTGCAGAGGTTGAGGGTCAGAGTTCTATTTTTATATACAGTCTGGCCATTGTCTGTTTGCATTTTCAGTCTCTTAGGAGGGGAAAGATGATGTCTCTTTCTTTTGATATTTAAGAACTCTTGATAGACTAATTTGTCATAGGATTAAGAAACAAAAAAATAAAATAAGAAAGAATTCTATAGATTAGGGAGATTCCATCTGTGGTATATATGTTGCAAATTGATCCTAACCTTTGAATTTGTTTAATGTGTTTATATCAGTTTTAAAATTTTATAGGGACTATCATTTTGCATGTCCTCTATTTTAGTCAGTTTGGAAATATTTTTGACATTTAAAGATTTAAAATATTCACCTGTATTTTCTTCTAGTACTTTTACTATGCTTTTTTTTTTACATTTACTTTTTTAATCTATTTGGAATTGATTCTGGTATAAGGTGGATGGTAGAAATTAGTTTTCTTTTCTTCCAAATTGGTATGATGTTACCACAACACCACTGATTGACAAATCTATCCATTTCCTATCAGTGGATTCACAAGTAAGAGCATATCAGAGAGTAAATTTTTAAACTCTAAACTGATGAAGTAACTTTCAGAGCTTTAAATGGCCCAAGTGGGGGAAAGGCAGGTAGTAAGCATCTTCATAGGCAGTGAAAGGAAACTCCAGAAAACTTTTGGGGGTAGGAGAATGCATTTCACTCACAAAAGCTTTTATGTTTACTTTTTTCCTTTAAATATGCAATAAAACTCTTAATTTAAATATGCAATAAAACTTGTAACTCTTCAATGTACCATTCAACAACTTTTGACAAATGTGTACACCTGTGCAACTTAAACTACTATCAAGATATGGAACCTCACAATCACCTTAGCAGTAGGTCTCTCATAGTTCTTTCCTCATCAGCTCCTGCCCCGCCCTACAGAGGCAATCGCTGTTCTGATTTGTTTCCATCATACATTTGTTTTATCTATTGTTATCTACAACTTCCTTTGAAATGCATCCAAAATAACCTGCCTTTATTTAGGGATAGAGGGATGAATAGATGGATAGTTATCCAATAATGCAAGAATATAAAATGTTATAATAAAATCTGGATAGTAAGTATATGGCTATTCCCTTAAAATGCTTTCAAGGTTTCTATGTGTTTGGAATTTTACATAACAAAATGTTAGAACAGAGGAAAGAAAAACAAAAATGCATAGAAAAGTTAAAACACTTCTGAAGAAGAAGATCAAGATCAGGTGAATATATCTTGCTAGAAGTCAAGAAAAATATAAAGATGTATAAATCAATACAATGTGGTATTTTTTATAGAGCTAGAAAAAATGACTAATGAAACAGAGTAGAGAACCCAGAAACAGACCTACACAAATGCAGAGACTTCACTTATGGTGGAAACAGCACTGCAGATCAGTGGGGGATGAATGGACCTTTCAAGAAATGGTACTTGTGCAATCAGTTATCTACATAAAAAATTAAAATAAAATTATATTCTTTCCTAATCGCATAATGGCAGATGAATTAAGGACTTAAAATGGGAGGGAAAACTGTAAGAGTTTTAGAAGATGCGCTAGATGTAGTTGACTGACAATCAGAATCCGTTTCCACTTTCTTTTTATGTGTTTCACTGCAGGTCAGAAATCTTAAAAAAAAAATCCCAACCTCCCAGCAGCTAAGGATCTTGTTACAAATTAGGTCACATCAATTAGGTACGCTCACATGAGATTTAGAAGGTGGCAGTAAGCCACAGCTTGCTGCTTTAGGCTGTTTTCTGCTTCAAGTACAACCATGGAGAGCCCAACAGAAGTTCACCTGCCTCATGGGGGGCAGGGGCGGTTGCAATGGCAGCTGTAGCTGGACTCTGTTTCCAGTCTTTGGTCACCAGCTTCAAAGCTGCTGAGATGTGGTTGATTTGGTGGCCACAGCAGCTTTGCAATTGCAGCACCCCCATCCTGGATCATAGCTACCCTGGCATGTCCTTGAATTCAGTAGTTGCAGTGGTGGCCTTCTGATTCCCTTCTTCCAGATTACTGCATAGGTATAAATTCCCATGGTGGGTCAGATCTGTGATTTCTGGGAATCATTCCTGGAGGCCCAACCTAGATCTAACTCCTGAAGGCTAATGTAGATTTCCTCAGAATTAACTCCCTCTTTGAAATCACTCCAGCCCTAGCATTGACAGTGGCTTCGTGTTGTTGCTGATAGCTGGATTGCCTCACCATCTCCCAGGTGACTTCTGAGATCCCTGCATTGCATTTCTTTTGTTTCATACCCAGTACAATTTCTGTTTTTCCAACTGCTCCTTGACTGATACATACAACTACATACATCACTGCGAATGGATCTCAGAAACCTGGGGAAAAAAGAAAGAAAAAGGCAAATTGCAGAAAAATACCAACAATATAATCACACTTATATGTTTAGTAAATATGCAAAAACAGTATGTTGGTTGGGGATAAAAACTTGCTAAATTTATAAAGAAAAGCTGTGGGAAATTCTCAGCAATGGAAGTATAGCTTTTGAATCCCACTAAATTACTCATTAAAAAAAAGAAAGAAAAAGGGCAACAGGATAGTGAAACCCAAACCTACTGACAACATGTCCAACAAAGCAGGTGAACAGATATCCATCTGAAGAACCAGGTCTCTCCTATATCTCAGAATCTACCACCTGAGACATGGAAGAGAGTATTTAACCGCTGGCACTCATCTCCCGGAGTTGCCCCAAAAGATGTTAATGCCCCATTAATACTGTGATGCTTTCTGCTTTACACACGCACTGCAGTGACTAAGCAGGCTCCTGCAGGTGCTCCACAGGGGGTGGCAGAAAAGCCCAGATAGAAAGCAAGAGATATGCCAGGCTGTTAGCAAGGCTCAGAGCAAAACAGTGGGACTAGGTAATGTCAACCAGAATCTAAGACACATCAAACACACCTCTAAATCTTGACAATAGCAAATACATTTTCTTTCAAAGTGCTCATGAAATATTCAGGAAATTTGGCCATATTCTAGGCCGTAAAGAAAATCTCAATAAATTCCCAAGAATAGGAACACTACAAACAGCATTCTCTGACCCCAGTGAAGTAAAACTAGCAAGGAATTTAAAGTAATAATAGTTTTAAAAAACTATATTTACACATCATTCAACAACTCCTGGGTCAAAAGGGGAATACAAAACAGCAAAATTTCTTAAAAATTACACAAATGAAAACATTGTACTTCAGAAACTGATATGTAATTAAAGCACTGAGAGGGAAAAATATATGCTATATGAACAATACACACACACACATACACAAACACACACACATATATATATACATACATATATATAATTAACCCCTAACTCCAAAAGCTAGAAAAAAAACAAAGTAAAGATAAAACCAAATGAAGGAACTAGTGAGATAAAAGCATAATATAATTTAATGAGTAAGAAAACAAAAAAATACTAGGATTAGAAATATAAAAGCTATTTCTTTCAATAAAATTGAAATATATAATTCATTAGTCAACCTAATGAAAGAAAAAAAAGGCATTGTGAGGAAATGACAAAGAACTAACCTCAATCAAGGACCTTTAAAAAATTATGAAAAATGACTATTGCATCTGGTGACTATTAGTCCTACCATCCCTGGAGCAATTAATACCTACGGTCCCAGAATTCCATCCAGTTATCATATTCTATAGCTCTCAAAGTGTCCTGGTTTGGAAAATTATTTTTATGCTTATCCTAATTTTTCACAACTCTACACATAAATTTGAAAAACTAAATTGAAATGAATACTTTTGTAGGAGAAGTGTAGCAGCAAAATTAACCAAAGCTGAGACAGCAGTCTAAATAGGTCAACTACCATAGAAGACAAAGAGGAAATAGTCCCATGCATTCCCCACAAAAGAAGCACTGGGACCAGATTCTAGTTTTATGGGGGAATTCTACAAAACCTTTAGAAATCAGATAATACCAATGTTATTTATACTACTCCAGGGCACAGTAAAAGAAGGAAAACTTTCAAATTCATTTTGTGAAGTGAGAAGATTGATACCAAAAACTGGAAAAAAAATTACACCAAAAAGAAAACTATGAACCAGTCTCACTTATGACTCTATCCATGCAAAAACCTTAAAGTATTAATCAATAGAATCTAATGGCACAATAAAAAATGTGTCCTAAGTGATTTTTCTTCCCCAGGATATAAAGTTGGTTAAATATTAGAAAGTCTTTGAATATCATTAATTATACTAATAAAGCTAAGAAGAAAGGTAGATCCAATTGCAAATAGGATACGCCAGTTTCTAAATGAATCAGATGTCAGAAAATGAAGCCATGAAAAATACTAGAAAGCATTCTCTATAACCTATAAGTGGAGGAATCTTTTCTAAGATATCAATTCTGGTACTACTAAGGGAAAAATTGATATTTCTGGCTATATAATTTTAAAAAAATTTTTTCATGTGACAAGCAAGAAGCAAATTAAAACATAAATGGCAAACTTGGGGAAAAGTTGCAACTTACATCATAGGCAAAAAAGAAATAACCCAAATATTTAAAGAGCTTCTTAGAAAATGTTCAGAAGTATGGATGAATTGCTCACAGGAAAAGAAATACAGAGGACTCTTGACTAAAAGAATGTCCAATCTCATTCAAATGAAAGAAATTAGAAATTTATTGACACACCATTTTGGCAAAAATCCATGTGTGACCATTATTCTGTTATTGTCTATGAGAAAACAGAAAATTTTAACATTACCAGAGTGAATGTAATATCTAGCACAGTACCTAGTGAGCCTTATGGAGGCACAATGGCATAGGTATTTTCTCTTTGGCCTAATTGTTCCATTTCTAGGAATCTGTTCCAAAATGAGATACAGAACATTTCATCACTCCTTGAAAGGTCCTTTTTATTTGTTTCCAGTTAACAACCTATCACAAACAACTAATCTTCTGATTTTTATCACCATAAATTAGATTTTTCTGTTCTTGAATTCCATGTAAATGCAATCATACAATATGTACCTGGATTCTTTGCTTAAAAAATGTTCTGAGATTCCTTTATATTGTTTGATATAATAGTCGTTTGCTTCTTTTCATTGTAGTGTAATATTTCCCTGTAAAAGGGTACCATAATTTGTTTAGTCATTTGCCTGTTGGTGGACATTTGAGTAGTTTCCAATACAGGTCTATTATGAATAATCTGCTTGAGAATTCTTACTTTCATTTGCTTTAGGTAAATACTTAGAAATGAAATTGCATATCAAAGAGTAGATGAATGTTTAACCTTAGAGAATATTTGGTGGTTTCTTATGAGTTTCTTATTTGGTGGTTTCTTATTCTCCAAAATGGATGTATCACTCTCACCAATAATATATGACAGTTCCAGTTGCTCTAAATTATTGCCAACTTTTATTTTGATCTTTTTTTATTTTAGTAATTCTAGAATATGAAGTGATACTCCATTATGAGTTCAATTTGTACTGAATACCATTTTCATATGCCCATTGGCTATTTGCATATCTTTTGTGAAGTGCGTGCTCAAATCCTTTGCCCATTTTTATTGAATTATTTGCCATTGTTTGTTGACTTATAGAAATTCTTCATATAGAAATATAGAAATTCTTCATATTGTATGGATATGAGTTCTTTGTCATAAGTAAGTATTGTGAATATTATTTTCCAAGTCTGCAGTTTGCTTGTTCATTTTCTATTTTTTTTCCAAATCAAAGCTGTACATTCTAATCCAATATGACACATGAAAGAAAAATGTGTTGTTTCAACATTAACTTTGAAACATTTATCATTTTAACAAAGCATAATTTTGCGAGACAAAAATTAAAATTTAGAAACATAGGTAAGGCAATAACCATCTTTAAGAATCCAGTAAAAAAATGTAAAGGTCTATTAATACTTATGTCCATTTCTGCTCACAATTTGTGATGATATAACAGCTGGCTAGTGTAGTACATTGGTAAAGCCTATGGGCTCTTCATTTAGATCACCTGGGTTCAACTCCAGCTTCAATGCTTATAAGCTATGAGCTTTGGCCATATTTGTAACCTTTCTGGGCCTCAGTTTTCTTTTTTTTTTCTTTTTTTTAAATTTTCTGACTGATTAAAACTATGATGCTCAAATGGGGATAGTGCCCACTAGGGTTTGGGGGAGGGGGAGATACACATCTTAGGGTTTTGGTGAGCATGGTGAGGGGGAGAGGGAATACATCTAAACCTTCCAAGGGAAAGGCTAAGATATACAATGTAACCCAAAGGTCAAAAAAAGGGAAAAAACAAACAAACAAACAAACTTTTATAGGGTGGTGGGCAAATGGGAGGGGGAAGGAGGGAAGAATTTACACTTACCAAATAGGTGTGATGAGCACCACCTGAGAGTAGGACATGCTAGATGTTTTGGTAAGGGGGGGGGGAATGGCATGGGCAATATATGTAACCCTAACAATATTTGTACCCCCATAATATGAAAAAATAAAAAATTGTTCATTTTCTTGATGTTATTTTTTGGTGAGCAAAAGATTTTACTTTTGGTAAAGAATAATTTGTCAAATGTTGATTTTATGGTTAGCGCTTTTTTGGTCTTGTTTAGAAAATATTTCTATGCCCCAAGTTTATGGAAGGCAATATCTTATATTTTCTTCTGCATGCTTTATAGATTTAGCTTTTTTGTTTAAGTCTATGGTACATCTCAAATTAATGTTTGTATATGCTATGAGGTGATTAGGTCTACTTTTTTCTATTTAGAAGGCCAGCTGTTCCATCATCATTTGTTAAAAAGACTTTCCTTTCCTAATTGAATTGTTTCAGCAGCTTTGTCAAAAACCAGTTGATGTAATTTCTTCTGGGCTCTCTGGTTTGTTTTATTGATCAATTTAGCTACCTCTGCTATCTCTATAACAGTGGTTCTCAATCAGGGTAATTTAGAAACTTTTCTAATTCACTTATTATTTCTAGTATTTTTGTAGAGTTCTTAGGATTTTCTATGAATACAACCATATTATCTTCAAATAGACATTTTCTTATCTTTCCTATATTTCCTTGTGGATGACTTTAGGGCAAAGTGAGTTGAGGCTTTTACCAATAAGCATTTTGTTAGTAGTAGGTTTTAGTTTAAATATTCTTTACCAGAATGTAGAAATTCCTACCTTAAAGATATATTTTACTATGAGTGAATTTTGAATTTTATTAAATGCTATTTCTGCATCTAATGAAATGATCATACTTTTTTAAAATTTTGGTAACAGAATAAATTACATTAACTGATTTTTAAATGTGAAAACAAACTTGAATTCTTGGTATAAGCTTCAGTTGGTTATGATGTATTATTATTTTTATGTATTACTAGACTTGA